ACAATTCATTTTTGAGTCCATTGGATGATCGAGTACCGTCTCCAGAATTTCTCTCTCTACCAGATCAAAGATGTCGGCCTGGTCAACCTCCGAACCATATGTAGAGAAGTTCTATTTATTTTCTTGTAGTAATAAAGATGAATTAACCGTTCGGTTACTCACCGATCTGGGCACAGCCTACGAGCTAAGACCCATGCTTCTTCACCCGGATCGGGTGGACTTGACTCCCATGGAGATTGCGGAGTATGTGTGCAGGGTGTCGACGCGCGTTCTCGTGAGCGGTGAGAAACACCAGCGTCTACCGAAGATCGTTGTTGATGGGGTAGAGGATTATGGATCATCATCATGGCGCGATACGGGCAGACTGCTCCGCTGCTGGGACGACGGGCGAAGATCGATGTACAACGTGATGAAGGCTGCAGGTGTTCTGGATATTGTCGAAGAGACATTTGCAAGTGGAGAGCAGATCGAAGCTCAGGAACTCATCCGTGTCATCAAGGATCTCAATGATCGCAAGGTCTTTCGAAAAGACGGGGATACACAAGCGACGACGAAATCTGTCCGCCTCTCAATCATGTCGACGAGGATAACCCGTGTTGTTGTGCGTGTCGGCACGATCGACATCGACGATGAAGGATATCCTAAGAAGATGCCGGAAGTCTCGTGTGATTCTGTAGTAAGGCGGAAGCGCAAGGCCGATGATGACCTGGATGAACCAATTGTGACGATTCAGGCTTCGAACACATCTCCTATCATCGAAGTTTCCAGGAAGCGCTCCTGGGTAGTACCTTCTCAAGATATCTTTGATTGCTAGACTCTCTCTCTCTCTCTCTCTCTCTCTCTCTCTCTCTCTCTCTCTCTCTCTCTCTCTCTCTCTCTCTCTCTCTTCCTACCAGGCGTGAGCCATCCCCTGGGTGAACAAAATGGGTGCTATCTTCTCTCTCTCTCTCTCTCTCTCTCTCTCTCTCTCTCTCTCTCTCTCTCTCTCTCTCTCTCTCTCTCTCTCTCTCTCTCTCTCTCTCTCTCTCTCTCTCTCTCTCTCTCTCTCTCTCTCTCTCTCTCTCTCTCTCTCTCTCTCTCTCTCTCTCTCTCTCTCTCTCTCTCTCTCTCTCTCTCTTCCTACCAGGCGTGAGCCATCCCCTGGGTGAACAAAAAAAAAAATGAAAAAAAAAAATGATCCGAAAAATTGAAATTACAAGTCAAAATACTGCAAAACTATGAGTTCTGATTAATATAAAATTGGAAAAAGTGAGATAACATTGACATTTGAAATAGTAATATTTTAGACATCGGAATGCAATATTATGATGTAGGGTAGGACATATTACCCACACCCTAAAAATCAAAATTAATGATACATGTAGAATTCCAAATCATGACACCATATTACCTTATTGTTTAGGGTAGAGCATAACACCCCAATACATATTTTCAATAATACCCCCTTTTTTTTTTTTTTTTTTTGAGGTAGGGGCACCCCCTGGCACATATTTTTATCCGCAAAAAAACCGGGCCAAAAATAATTTTCACCGCAAAAATGGGGTACTATTAGTACCCCATTTTTCAATAATACCCCATTTTTTGGGACCCGGGCGCCCCCTGTCCCAGAACCCGCTCGTCCCTTCCTACTATCCACTCCACTTTGTCGCGGAACACATCAACATGCCTGTTGACGTATACTGGAAGAGATACGACTCCACGGTGAGGACCTGTGTAGCAACTTGATCATGGCAGAGAAGGAGCTGAAGCAACTTCCATTGGCGCATGTTTTAAGTTTTAACGGTACTCCACGATGAGGAACTGCACACGCACTCGCTACTGCTCTTGCAAGGTGATTGGCTTCTTTCCGGTGATACAGGCTGCCTCAATGCATGACTTATCTGCACTTTGTCACGGAACACATCAATCCGCCTGACGCAGATATTCACTGGAAAACGGTGTCACTCCACGATGAGGAACACACAGCACTCGTGAAGGCTTGTACAGGGTGAGTGGCTTCTCCCCAGTGATGCATGCCACATTGAAGCATGATGAGCTATGTGATAAATACCGCACGGTGTGTTGATGCGAGGCATGGAGCACGCCATGCAGCTGGCACTGGTGATTGTTTTACACTACGATGATGAACTGCACGTGGCATTTGCTAAGGCTTGTGCAGGGCGAGTGTCTTCTCTCCAGTGATGCAGGCCACCTTGCAGCGTAGATCCACTGCATCTCTCTCTCTCTCTCCAAAATATTTGGTAATGAAACCTTTCACCAACATTGTCCGGTCGCACGCCTACTGTCACTAGAACAGGACCAATGGATGCAACATATGCCTAACAGATACTCTGTTGATCATCAACAACTCCAATACCCCCCCCCCCCCATTGAGGCTGCTGGTATAGTCTCTACTAAAGACCGCCTATTTGGTATAATGTTTCTCCACACTGCACACTAAAGCTACTTACCTTTTCCGAGATTGAACTCAGGCACTGACCACTTGCCTGTAGGATGAGCCAATTGACACTCAGAAACTAAGCACCATGTGCACCCGTCTCAAGAGAAACACTCAAGTCTGCAAGTGCAGTGGATGTACACACACTGATTTTCTCTTATACCAACGGTACCAGATCTATCTTGTCAACTTTGATAGCTTCTCTGTATCATCTCACACGAATCCACATCTGCGCATTGATTAAGCTACCCACTCTCTTTTCTGTCTGCCTGTCTATCTCTCTTCCTGCGTGTGTGTGTGTGTGTGTGTGTGTGTGCTGTGCTGTGCGTGTGTGTGTGCGTGTCAGACTCCTCCTGACTTTTCTTTCATTCTCCTGGGTGGTTACCAACAGCCAGTGCATGCCGGAGTATGTGGTGTGATGTGTGTGCGGAAAAATATGAAAAAAGACCAAAAAGTAGGGATTCACTGGCCAGAATAAGCCACTTCATAGCTGTGTGGTGTAGACCAGGCTGAATAGTGGCGGTCAATTATTCAGCCTTGCAAGCTGTTGAATGGTGCAATCCCAGCACAAGCTGCTATGGCTTCTGCTCTAGCATCGCTATCATCGCCTCTGGCGATGGGTGTCCAATGGTGTGTGTGTGTGTGTGTGTGTGTGTGTGCATCTCTCTCTCTCTCTCTCTCTCTCTCTCTCTCTCTCTCTCTCTCTCTCTCTCTCTCTCTCTCTCTCTCTCCCTCTTTCTTTCTCTCTCTCTCTCTCTCTCTCCCTCTTTCTTTCTCTCTCTCTCTCTCACTCTCTCTCTCTCACTCGCAATGCATGGATCCACTGCACTTTGTCGTTGAACATCTCAACACGCATGTTGACGTACACTGTATCTCTCTCCCTTTCTCTCTCTCTCTCTCACTCTCTCTTTCTCTCTCTCTCACTCGCTCACTCACAATGCATGGATCCACTGCACTTTGTCGTTGAACATCTCAACACGCATCTTAACGTACACTGTATCTCTCTCTCGCTTTCTCTCTCTCTCTCTATCTCTCTCACTCTCTCTTTCTCTCTCTCTCTCTCTCACTCGCTCACTCACAATGCATGGATCCACTGCACTTTGTCGTTGAACATCACAACACGCATGTTGACGTACACTGTATCTCTCTCCCTTTCTCTCTCTCTCTCACTCTCTCTCTTTCTCTCTCTCACTCGCTCACTCACAATGCATGGATCCACTGCACTTTGTCGTTGAACATCTCAACACGCATCTTAACATACACTGTATCTCTCTCGCGTTCTCTCTCTCTCACTCACTCAATCACAATGCATGGATCCACTGCACTTTTTCATTGAACATCTCAACACGCATCTTAACGTACACTGTATCTCTCTCTCTCTCTCTCTCTCTCTCTCTCTCTCTCTCTCTCTCTCTATCTCTCTTTTTCTCTCTCTCTCACTCTCCCTCTCTGTCTTTCTCTCTCGTTCTCTCTCTCTCTCACTCGCTCACTCACTCACAACGCATGGATCTACTGCACTTTGTCTTTGAACATCTCAACACGCATGTTAACGTACACTGTATCTCTCTCGCTCTCTCTCTCTTTCTCTCTCTCTCTCTCTCTCACTCGCTCACTCACAATGCATGGATCCACTGCACTTTGTTGTTGAACATCTCAACACCCATCTTAACGTACACTGTATCTCTCTCGCGCTCTCTCTCACTCGCTCACTCACAATGCATGGATCCACTGCACTTTGTCGTTGAACATCTCAACACGCACGTTGACGTACACTGTATCTCTCTCCCTTTCTCTCTCTCTCACTCACTCACAATGCATGGATCCATCTCCCTCTCTCTCTCTCTCTCTCTCTCACACACACTCACTCACAATGCATGGATCCATCTCCCTCTCTCTCTCTCACACACACTCACTCACAATGCATGGATCCACTGCACTTTGTCGTTGAACATCTCAACACGCATCTTAACGTACACTGTATCTCTCTCGCTCTCTCTCTCTTTCTCTCTCCCCCCCCCCCCCTCAACATAGATCCCTTCTTCCCATGATGCTTTTTGGTTTGCGTTCTGATAGAATATTGAACTAGTACATGTAGTACTGCTGATGTACAACACTATTCTCATGCAACTGGAAGGTATATGTTCGGGTGCTATTTGTTGTTGTGGCTAAGAGCGCATGTGTGCGACCAGGTAGTTCCAGCATGCAGTGTGTTGCATTCGCTATATTGTGGTCTTACAAGCACTCATCTACACTACTTCGAAGAACAATCACAGAGAACCGTATGTTCTAACGTTCCCTGATATAACTATAAACCGAAGCACAACTGCTGCAAACATTTCTAAAACTGCCCACTTAGGCAAGATAGTAAAGACTAAAAGTAGAAGAAGTAAGACTAGCGGGTTCTTCCAGCTCCAGGACAGTATGAACTGGCAACGACATAACAGCATTGCATCGTACATGCATGTGGCCGTGAAGAAATAATAGTACGTTTCGTTGTGAATGCAAGCCTAAGGCGGAAAGCAGTCAGGCGTAATAGACGCAAGCCATAGAAACCAGATCTATCTATCTATGACGCACGTCACATGCATTCATGATAATCAATGCATCGTGGTTCATCACCATCGAACACAGTAGTACATGTAAATTACACAGAAATAGGAGAATCAATCTACCATACCTCCCTCGTGAAGGAAAAGTGATAAAGAGCACATGAGTGAGTAAAAGACGAAGACAACAAGAAGAAAAAAACACAACAAAAAAACAATGGTAATTGGATATGAAAACTTGGATGGAAAGAAAAGGACCAAGGACCTACAAGACATGCTAGAGCTGATAGCCAGTTAATTGTTGAACATCAGTACTGTCGGCCAGTTTTGTGCAATGTTATCGCATGAGCTGATCGTCAAGGAACTGGTGGTGTTAGTGGACATTATAGCATATGTTTCTACCTCTCGTCTTGATTCACCATTCCACAAACGTAACGTCGTTACTGTACTATAAGAAGACTGTGTTATTACTCTTTTATTCTCGTGCCAAACAGCTAACTCAACTAAAACAAGTCCAACAACCTGCACCACCGAAGCAGGAACCTAAAACTCACACACCAAGGAAAACAAGCACCGATCTACGCCTACGGATCACAGACTCCCATCCCGATCCTAGCGTAGTGGCAAATGATACATACTAGTAGATGACAAAAGGTGCCGGTGTTAGGTGACAGCTGCATACGAATGCATGAAAGGGGTCAGACAGTTCATGTATCATGTGTACCGGCAGTTGTAACTGGAGCCGACTGAAAGTCAATACATCAATACTAATAGCAGTGTTAGTCATACATGAAGCCCAGACTACAGAAAGTGTAGCAGTGAATACAAAGTATGTTGCATACGACGGGTGTTGCTTGTCACCTAGGGGGCAACAGCATAGCTTGTAGTTCCTTGGTCTTTTCTTTACTATGAATATGAAAACAATCACAGTTTGCCCAGTACTTGCACCTTTAACTTCCAGTGGCTCAAGATGATGAACTGCATGCTTGAATACCTTCCCAGCTTAAACTTCTACTATCCGCACAACACCATCCTTACCTGGATAGGTCATAAGCATACGTCCAAGTGGCCACTGTGCAATTGCTGTGTGCTCATCCATCACAAGCACGATGTCTCCTTTCTTAGCGTTACGCTGTTGTAGCAACCACATCACCTGGATGCCCAGCTTGGGAACAATCTCTTTCAGCTAACGTTTCCATACCTGATCTACTATACGTTGCACAAACTCCCAGCACTTCCTCGGGTGAACTCGAGTAATTGTAGATGCGTTGGCTTCAGCAGCAATAGTTGCCCTAGCATGGCCAGTGAGAAAGTGTTGTGGCAATAGCAGCTGAAGGTCTTCTTGCAGCAGTCGTTTCATTGCCTTGGCCCTTACCTAGAACACACCACCTTAGTGTGGTGCACTTGGTGGCTTGAAGTACCAGGTAATGTCGCGGTATGACCTTTTTGCTGCTAGTCTGGAGTAGTTGAGAAACTTGACAGCTGCTTTTACCTCTTGATCAGCAACAAGAAAATTGGCACCGTTGTCCGATTGCATCTCTTGTGGCACACGACGTCGCATGGTGAATCGGGGTCTAAGGGCCAGGAGAAAACCGTCGTTGCCCAGAGATAACCTCGAAATGACAAGCCCTAGTCAGCAGCATGTAAACACACATACATACATATCTCTTTGAGTTGTGACCGATCTCGACCCTGGCGTGCATAGAACGGGACGACATAGCCGGCACCAACTATGGCAGATGACTGATGTGGTCCAGTTGTCTTGAAGTTAGGAAGTCGTGGCATTGCTGGTGTTGCTGTTTTGATATGGCCCTTGCGGCAGCCAGCTTGAAGCGACTACAAGAATGGCGAACGGGCCTCCTCTCTAGCTTCAATTTAGGAAAATTTAGGACAAGTATTGGTTTGATATTTTGACAAAGTCTTGCTCCCGGCAGCCGGCGATCACCGGCGTGAACGGTTCACAAACCACTTTTGGCCCGATGCCTCCAGGTGGCCTGCATCACTGGAGAGAAGCCACTCACCCGGCACAAGCTTCCACGAGTGCTGTGTGCTCCTCATCGTGAAGTGATACCTTTCCCAGTGTACGTCAACAGGCGTGTTGATGTGTTCGACGACAAAGTGCAGTGGATCCATGCTTTTGAGGGGGGCTGGATCACTGGAGAGAAGCCAATCTTATCATCTTGCGAGAGCTGTAGCGAGTACGTGAGCAGTTCAGCTCCTTCTCTGCATGATCAAGTTGCTACAGACCTTGCAAGCTGATTCCATACTATACACCACTGCCACAGGTTATGTCTGTCAGCTAGCTACAGCAACAATATCCTTTTCATGAATTAATATTTTCTCGGGTCAAAATCAGCTCCCGAATGTCTACAAGTACAATACAGCATGATCGCATGTGCATGGACAGGATCCGACTGTGATGCAGCTCTCCTGGAAGGAAGCAAAGTTCTTCTGTCGCCAATGCCATCGCTTGCCAGTGTCACTCCAGAAAAATAAATTTCAATTTCAGCAGCTACGAATTGAATGCATACCACTTCGCCTCCACCAAGACTACAGGGCATCTGATTTGACAAGGTATATCAGTGGGACTTGGAGAAGTCACAGTAACAGTTTGCAAGATCACTAGCAACAAGTATCAAAACATCAAAACAAACATAGATATTTAGAAAACCATACCGTCTCCTCTCCTAACATGTCGAAAACAACAATTACATTTTCCGAAAATGGACTATGAATATGAAAGCTCCTCCACGTTAAAAGGCGATTATAAACGTAAACGTCAAACTACAACATCGATGCCACCTCGATCGATCGATCCGAGATTCGCCTGCCCATCCTAGGATGGGCATTGGCCACCCTGCCCATCTTAGGATGGGCAGAATCGACGGACGGGCCGGAACAGATCTACCGGCACTGGGTAAGTACGTGAGTAAGTGAGTAAGTTGCTCACTATGTATGCCAACTACTAGAAAAAAAAAGAAAGAAAAAAAAAACGTATACTAGCTTCAGACTTCAGTCGTGTTTTCAAAGCGAAGGCTGAGACTGCCCGTCGCAAAGACTGCAAGCCAAAAGAAGTTGTTGGAATAGGCCGAAGTGTCAGGAGTTCAGCTGAGTGGCGGCCTTCCTTCTGATGAACTCATTCCGTTCCAACAAATGTTCGTCAATTCAGCGTTGGTGTTAGAAAAGGAATTGAAAAGAAAATTTGATGAAGCATTCTCCACGTATGCTGAGAGACGTGAACACGCAGTGCATTTTAGCAAAGGAGAATTGAACAACCTGTTTCGTGTCGCAGGTTCACGTGTTGGCGCAGCAGTTTCCCATTCATCGGGAAAACTGCACCAACAACAGCAGCCGCTACAGCGACCAAGTCGAGAAAGCTGTGTGGCAACGTGTTACGGAATGTACTGGCGTACGGATCTGCTGGTAGTGGCAAGACCACAGTGTTTCTGCTCATGGTTCTTTACCTGTGGAGCAGAGGCGAACTATGGCAGGAGCAGGAATTCGATCTGGTCGTGGGACTGGAGCTTCATGAAGAAGAGGTGAGAGCCGCCACTAGTCTAGCTGAATCATTCCACACCAACGCGACAGACCAGAAGCCCTATCTCACCGAAACCAGTTTCACAGTGAAGCATCACATCGAAAGTCCAGGAAATGCACATCACACCGAATGATGGTGTCACCGACACTGGCAATATTTTCCACACGTGCTGCAGGTATGTACATGTACATCGAAAAAGTACTGTACAGGTTTTTTGGAACACGTTCTATCACTATAATCAAGAGTATAACGTCTCTAGTGATTATGTACTCTTGCTATGATGTGCACAGATTTGGCTGTCTTTTTTCGCTCTCACGGTGGTGTCTCATGTACTGTGCCTGCATGATAAACTCATCCTCGCTATAGCCTAGTATAGCGCTTGAAAGTGATGACGTCAAAAACGGCCAGGGAGTACTAAGTTCACATCAGATTTCTGTTTTGGATCGACTAAGGTGTGACTTTGCTATTGCCTCAGTATGTGAGTGCATAGCAACCCACGCATGTCGTATGCAGGTGTGACTTTTTCTTCGCCACCAGTTCTTACCCCACCCCCATTATATTAGCCAATCCAGTCAACCGGCTACCGGCTACATGTATACATCACCTTGCTGTGAGTAAGACCGCTTGAAAAAAAAGTTGAAATGTGCTTGGGTCCATACAAAAACTGGATCCAAGTGGATCCAGTTTTTGAATTTTTGAAATTGTTGCTATGCTGTGATGTAGCACTTTCAAGCCCTATTGGCAGTCTTATGGCCAGCCAGGAGATGTATACAGTAAAACCTGTCAAGGCGACCACTCAGATGAGGCGACCACCTACATTGTACATGTCCCAAAAGGCCACTAAAAACCAGGACCAAGGGATGCTATTTCCAGTCTAATGACCCTGGATAAGGAGACCACCTGATAACAGAGACCACGTTTTCAAGGTCCCTTGAGCGGTCGTCTTAGACAGGTTTCACTGTAAATCACTTCATGTTGTTGTTGTAGTGTTTTATTTCAATTCGCTCAGGGCACAGGCAATACTAATACTGCCTTCTCACAGGAGAGAGGATTCTCCGATTCCTACCAAATACGAGAAATCTGCGATATGAATACTTGTATGTATGAGAAAGACAATAATGAGAAAAATGAAAATGATAATGTCGGATTACGATGGTTTAGTTGTTATGCGAGATTTCCCTGACGATAAAGCGTTTCTGGAGGCAAGTGTCCAGAAACGGGTTCTGCAGTCGTAGGATTGCTCGAACCCCGGACTTCGCCGATCTTCATGTATTTTCGTTGGCGGTATAACTTGGTGATTCCATCACTGTTTATGGAGTACCCACTGCTACAACGCCGTGTGGTGGAGAATTGTGGCTGTGTAGAAAATGGATACGCCTGCTACATTGCCGAGAAGCGAAGGCTTGACGAGGCGATGTATTGGAGGTGCAACCGAAAAGACGAACTAGACTGCAAGGGATTGGTTCATTGGTTGAAATGAGCGGAGCATGCTTGAAAGGCTTGAACGACCGGGTGAAGGTAATAACTGTACCAAAGCAGCGACAGCGCTTTATTAGAATCGCCCGCCAATGGTTCTGCAACCTACAGTAGAGTCGTACGCCCAAGAACGCGGTTTCAGAGGGCCAGCCTAGCAAAGTTCTTATTTTTCAGCGCCCCAGGCTACATCCTTATTTCGCTTTCTTACGCGTCCAACATGACCCGTGACGCTCATATCATAATAATTATTATACAATGCACTTTGCTCTACATGTACCGGTTGTACACTTTACATGCACGTGTAGTATGTAGCGCTGCACTGGGTGATGTTTTTGCGAGGACCCGACAAGAGTTTGTGGTTGCAGATTTGTTTTTCATGTACTCGGAAACGTGAAATACCAAAATATTTCGCGTTCTTAAAAATCTTGGAGTTCGTTCTTAAATCCCGGCTGGGGCGTTCTTAGATTTCCAGCCTGGCCGTTCTTGGGCGTACGAGTCTACTGTAACTACTTTTCCCAATCACATCAAAGCCGATTTCCTGTGGGACCCATCAGCCCTCAGGTCACCATGGTTACCTACGCCAGGATTAAATACAGACAATGCAAATGGGATACATGTACACAGTATGTCCATCGTGAATCAGGAAATATTTGTTTGGATCGCAATAGCTTATCGGACAGGTGTTGCATATTGCTTTGTGTGTGTATTATGTGCGTGTGTGTAGGGAGGTTTAGTCGCACGTAATCCGTGGGTACTTTACGTGTGTGTACCACGTGATACTCAGTGACCCACGTACAGACATTTTCTGATTCACGACATACCGTGTATGGAGGCTCACCCACGTTCCGCCAAAACGTGGGTGAAAATCAGAATGGAGCGCATTGTGCGAGCTGTGAGGGTGCTCAGCTGAAGAAGTTTCCGAAGCACGAAATCAAAATATTGGATGAGCTTCTTAGGCCCGGGTAGCTTCGTCTTTGACCAGGTTTGGGCTTTTCGCTTCATGCTTTTGTTTGTTCCGTGTGACTAAACACAACATTGCAACGTGGGTGCCCTTCATCCACTTTACGTGGATCACCCACGTACGCGTTTCCGTTACGTGGGAACTAAACCTCCCTTGTATCTGTTTGTACGTACGTGTGGGTGTATGTATGGTAAAGGTGAACAGTGACAAGGGTGGGTGAATCACACTTCCCGGATATCTCCCCCCCCCCAAAAAAACACACGCACATACCCCCCCCCCCCCCGCCCCCACACACACACATCAACTCAATCATGGCAGTCTCACACCCACTTTGCACTTCATGAAATGCTCACTTACATTGTTATGTCTTAGTGCTAGCTTTTAACTTGTTGGATATTACATGTAGTAGCGTGAATTATGTGACGTTTCCTGTACTATCTTATATCAGGAAACTTTGTATCATTCCTTTCCTGTATCCCTGAGGATGCCCTCCTGGGTGAAACTTTTGCGTGTGACAATTTACTGTACGTGATGTAGCCAAGGACTGTTTGTGTGTTGCGAGTTGGGTGTACTGACGTTATTATTCTCACCATTT